GACCCGAAAGTTTGAAACATGTTCGGGCGCTGAGTTGGCGCTTGAGCTCTATCTGTTGTGCGCAACGTTTCGCGACTGATTGTGCTCCATTAGGCCAAGGAGTGCATGGTCACAGTTCGGTCGCCTTCATGACCTCTGACTTCTAGTGCTTTCAGGATGCTGCGTGGGAGCACTGATCTCCGACGGCGCACTTAAGCGTCGCGTGCAGATATCGCTCTCTTTGGTGCAGAAATCGCCTCGTTGTGGCATGCCCCATGCTCGGCTGAGACATGTCCCGCGTGTAGTTGGTGGTCTCGTCGATGGTTGTCAGGAAGACGAGCAAGCTTGTCATGTCTCCACCCTTCGCTTCGCCACTTGTCGCCCGGGTCGGTCTCAGGGGTTACTCCGCATGGCCAGCGAAGGCTGGGCCAGCAACATTTGTTACGCGCATTAGTGGTATCCGGCTGGGACAGGAGTGGAATGGGGCTCGGCGTGGCGCTCGCTCGATATCACGCGCGGGCAGGGCCTCGCGCGCGGCGCAGTGGCGGGGCCACGTGGCCGCCTTGAAAACGCCGCGGCTTTTCGCGCGCAGCGCGCGCGCGGGCTTTCGTGGCCGCGCGGAGGAATGTTGGGCACTTCGCGCGAGGTGCGCGGGCGGGGCCCCGCGGCGGCACCTCGCGCGCAACGCGCGTGAGCGATCCTGCAGCCGCGCCGAAGTATCTGCGAGGCCCCGCGCGCGTCGCGCGGATGCCCCCCCCGCGGCCGCGCGCGCCAGCTCTGCGTCGCCGCGCCCAGCGCGCTCGCGGGGTCTGCGCGGCCGCGCTGGGGGGCACCCGCTCGTCGCGCCGAGCGCGCCGGCTGGATTTTCTCGCATGGCTGATGCATTTTCTATGGCAGACTCAAGGGAGCGGAAGTCATAGCGGCGCGTCTTGCAAGGCGCATGGGCGGGGCTGCGGCGCGCGAGAGGATCTGCGGCCGCTCTCGCGCAGCGCGCGGGCGGGGCCCCGCGGCCGCGCCGCGGGTCCGCGCGCCCTTGCGCGGCGATCGCGGGGGCGGGGGGTGGGCGCGCGGCCGCGCTGCAGGGCGCGCGCGCGCGCTCCCGCGCGGCCTGCGGGCGGGGTTGGCCTCGCGGCCAAGGCTCAGTCTTCGCGCCCCCGCGTGCGACGCGCGGGCAGGGCACCCAAACCGCCCCGACGCACTGGCGCGCGCCCGCGCGCGGCGCGCGCGCGCGCCCCCCCCCGCCCCTTCCCGCTCCTTTGCTTCGGCGCGGCGCGCGGGCGGGGCCGCGGGGCCGCGCCCGAGATCCTGCGGCCGCCCGCGCGCCAAGCACGCGCGAGGCTTCGTGGCCGGGGCGGGGTGTCTGCGCGCCCCCCCCCCCCGGGCGCAGGGCCCCGTGGCAGCGCGGATGATTTGGCGCGCGCGGCCGCGCGCGCCCCCCCTCGCCCTGGCCCCTGGGTCGGCGCGCGGATGTGGCCGCTTGGCCGCGCCGGAGATCCCGCGGCCACCCGCGCGTGCCCGCGCGTCGAGCGCGCGCGAGGTTCCGCGGCTGGAACGAGGAGTGTGCGCGCCCCCGCGGGTCACGCGCGGGCTGGGCCCAGTGGCCGCGCGCGGGAAATTCGCTGGCTTGGGCGTGGCCGCGCGGCCTCGCCGACGAATCTGCGGCCCCCGCGCGGGGCGCGCCGGCGGGGCTGAGAAAATCGCCACCCACCAAACCACCCCAACCCAACCCGAAGGCCCAAATTTATCGTCGATTTCCAGTGGGGGGGGGGGTCGGGGAACATTGAAAAAACACATGCAACCCACGCCCCCCCAAACCGAAATTCGGGTCAAATTCGGATCTTCGGGTCGGGTTGGGGTGGTCTGGTAGGTAGTCAGAAAACCCGCGGGCCGCCGCGCCTGGGCCTGGGTCTGCGGGGAAGTAGGGGCACTTCGTTGCGATCGCGGCGGGTCGCCGACGCGCGCCGCGCGGGGCCCCCGCCCGAAAAGTGCCCATGAAGGGCCGCGCGCGCGCCCGTGGCCCCCGGGAGCTTCTAGAATTCTGGTGCCCCATGGCAGCGCGGGCTTTATTCTCCGGCGCATTGCGTTTTGGCTCAAGACGCGACCCACTGCATGCCGTCGGCCCGATCCATCGGGGCAGTCAGTCGGCGTGGCCCTTGAGGTGGCCCTCGGCCATGGAGGGCAGATCTTCCGAGGGTGCCGCAATTGCGTTGTTTGTTTTTCGCGCGGCGCCTTGGGGCCAGTGCATTTGGCCCCTTCAGCGACGGGCCCGCGAAATCGGGCCTCGCCGGCCTCGCGCGCGCGCGCGCCGGCGGCGGCGCGTTCAGGCTGCCCTGGCGGGGGGCTCCGAGGCCCGATGGGGCCTTCGACCTGAGCGGGGGGAGGGCCAGGGGGGCCGAAATGAGCTCCGGCGAGGCCGCAGAACTTTTCCCCAATTCTGGCGAGCTCAGAGCGGCCTGTTGCTGGAAGCGGCAGAGCGCGCAGTGCGTTGCCTTGTAGTCCCGCGCGAGGCGGCTGGGGCTGCGTATCGCGGCGCGCCGCTTTTTTGCTGGCGCCGCAGGCGTCGGAGCTTGCGGCGCATTGCCGTTCTCTGCGCGAGACGGCTAGGGCTGCGCGGCGTGGCGTGCAAGCAGCGGCGCGGCTCCTGGCAGGAGCGATGTGCCCGTTTTCCCGTCGGGGCCCGATGGTCCAGGCCTCCTAGATGGGGTCGGAGTAATTGGGGTCGGAGGATCGCTCCGCGTCGCCGATGCATCGCCGATGCGGCTCGATGCGGAGCCCGATTTGCTTCGCGTCGACGTCGCCGATGCACTACTGCCCGCGTCGACGACGCATCGCCAGTGCGTCGCCGACGCGTCGTCGATGCATCGCCGATGCGTCGGCGACGCGGCGCGATCCCCCGACCCCGTCAACTCCGACCCCGTCTAGAAGGCCTTTAGATGGGCGGCAGGAAACGAGGGGTTCTGGGGGGGGGGGAAGGGGGATGGGGGGGTGGAGGGGCGGGGGGGGGGGGAGGAAGGGGGGGGGGTAGGGGGTGTGGGAGGGGGGGGGTGGGGTGGGGGGTGCGAGCGAGGAGACCGAGTAGCCATTTAAGCTCAAGCATTTTGGCTTTAGTTCCTGTTGGCCCCCGGGGGCCGCCCGCGCCCGCGCCTCAGAGGGGCGCGGCGAGCGGGGGCCATGGCGGGTTCTTTCCGCCCCTTCGGTTTCCCCACGCCGCGCGCGCGGCCAGTGGGCGCCGCCGCCCGGGGGCGCGGCGCGCCGCGCCGTTCGCCCCGTCGGCTCGGGGCCATTGCATGCGCGCCGTCGAAGCGCGCGCGCGCAAGGGGCCCGGGGGCGGCGTGGCAACAGTTCGCGCTTCCATCGAGCGCTTGCCCAATTTGAGCATTTTCCGAATTTCCGCTGTGGCTCATTGTCGAACTTGCTTGTCGGCAGTTTGTTGCGTTCGAACTTTCCATTGCCGCTCCTGCGCTCTGCGAACATTAGCGCCCGCCGCTCCGCGTTTTCGAACTCGGTCGTTGTGCCGGGGGGCCGCCTTGAATTTTTTAACCTTACAGCGAAGACTGATAGGTTTCTAGTAGTGTCAAAAGAGATCATCTTTACGCCCCAGAGGGGGTCTGGGCGGGATCCGGACAAAACCGGACAAAACCGGCAGCCCCAGGAATCCGTAGGAGTCTTTAGGAGTCCATTCCCAGAACGCCATTCCCAGGCCACATTTTGAATGCCCGGAGCCAACTGTAGGCCAGTTCGTGTTCTTCGTGTTCCCAGAGCACCACTCCCAGGCCACATTTTGAATGCCCGGAGCCAACTGTAGGCCACTTCGTGTTCTTCGCGTTCCCAGAGCACCACTCCCAGGCCACATTTTGAATGCCCAAAGCCAGCTGTAGACCTTTTCGTGTTCTTCGTGTTCCCAAACCACCATTACCAGGCCACATCTTGAATGCCCGGAGCCACGTGTAGGCCACTTCGTGTTCTTCGTGTTCCCAGAACACAACTCCCTGGCCACATTTTGAATGCCCGGAGCCAACTGTAGGCCACTTCGTGTTCTTCGTGTTCCCATAACACCATTCCCAGGCCACATTTTGATTGCCCGGAGCCAGCTGTGAGGCTGAGGCTGAGGCAGGCTGAGGCAGGCTGAGGCTGAGGCGGGCTGAAGCTGAGGCCGAGGCAAGCCGAGGCAGGCTGAGGCTGAGGCTGCAGCTGAGGCAGGCTGAGGCTGCGGCTGAGGCTGCGGCTGAGGCTGCGGCGAACTGCGGCTGAGGCAGGCTGGGGCTGAGGCTGATGCAGGCTGAGGCTGAGGCAGGCTGAGGCTGAGGCTGAGGCAGGCTGAGGCTGAGGCTGAGGCTGAGGCCGAGGCAGGCTGAGGCTGAGGCCGAGGCAAGCCGAGGCAGGCTGAGGCTGAGGCTGAAACTGAGGCAGGCTGCGGCTGAGGCTGAGGCTGTGGCTCAGGCTGAGGCAGGCTGCGGCTGAGGCTGCGGCTGAGGCTGCGGCTGAGGCTGAGGCAGGCTGGGGCTGAGGCTGATGCAGGCTGAGCCTGGAGGCTGACGCTGAGGTTGGGGCAGGCTGAGGCTGAGGCTGAGGCCGAAGCAGGCTGAGGCTGAGGCTGAGGCAAGCCGAGGCAGGCTGAAGCTGAGGCTGAAGCTGAGGCAGGCTGAAGCTGAGGCTGTGGCTGAGGCTGAGGCAAGCTGCGGCTGAGGCAGGCTGAGGCTGAGGCTGATGCAGGCTGAGACTGCGGCAGGCTGAGGCTGAGGCTGAGGCAGTGTGAGGGTGAGGCAGAGGCCGAGGCAGGCTGAGGCTGAGGCCGAGGCAAGCCGATGCAGGCTGAGGCTGAGGCTGAAGCTGAGGCAGGCTGAGGCTGAGGCTGAGGCCGTGGCTGAGGCTGAGGCAAGCTGCGGCTGAGACAGGCTGAGGCTGAGGCTGATGCAAGCTGAGGCTGAGGCAGGCTGAGGCTGAGGCTGAGGCAGGCTGAGGCTGAGGCTGAGGCCGAGGCAGGCTGAGGCTGAGGCCGAGGCAAGCCGATGCAGGCTGAGGCTGCGACTGCGTGAACAGCAGAATTCTACAACTGGATTCGCACTTGAATCTTAAGGGGAATGCTTCCACATATGCTTATACACATCGGTGTTCGGTTGCTTTGCCCGGATAATCGAACTTTCAGTTCCGGGGTTTTTCGAACTCGAACTTTTGGTTTTCCCCCCACCCGAACTCCAAACCGAACTTCCTTCGCTTTCCATGCCCCACTCAGCCACTTACAATCCTGGCCAGGGTACTGACGCTGAACTCCTCTCCGCCTCGGGTGCGGAAGCCTTTGCCGTCTCCGTCCTGATCGCGGACCTCGGGTGGGATTGGCTCTCAGATCTTTCCTTCCCTCACACGTCGGGGCAACGTTAGGGGGAGATAGGCCTGGGGGGGGGTACGCGTCGACCCCCAACTGCTCATTCATCGCCAGTGAGGACCCGATAGCCGCGCCCCGCCCAGGACCGCGCGGATTTGGTACTGGGGGCTTATCGCCGATCTATTGGCGATGTGTCGCCGATTCCACGTCGATGTCCCCCCCCCCCTGAGCTCGTGCAGCCCCGTCGTTGCCCCTCGCCCCTCCCTCGCGCAGCACTGGGGCCGCCGAGGCGTACGAGCGCAGCCGCCGCGAGGTGGACGCGAGGTTCACGGTGCAGCCCACGCAGGCGCCGCCCCCTGCGCAGGGCTGGGCGCCGCCACCTCCGCGGCCCCCTCTCGCCGCCGCAGCCGCCGCCGGCGGCGGCGTCGTCGTCGTCGTCGTCGTCGTCGTCGGCGTCGTCGTCGTCGTCGTCGTCGGCGGCGGAGTCGGAGCCGTCGGAGTCGTCGGAGTCGTCGGAGTCGTCGGAGTTCAAGTCGTCGTCGTCATCGTCGTCGTCCTCGTCGGGGTCCGAACTGAAGTTGGAGTTGGTTTCAGAGTCTTCGCCGCCGGAGTCGGAATCGGAGTCGGAATTGTGGTCGTCGTCGACGCAGCCGTCGCTGTCGCTGTCGCTGCTGCGGCCGTCGTCGGCGTCGTCTTCGGCGGCTGCGTCGTCGTCATGTTCGTCACGTTCGTCATGTTCGTCATGTTCGTCATTTGGTCGGAGGACGGTGAGGGTGGCGGAGGAGGAGCCCCCCCCCTTCCCAAAACTTGGTCTTGCTCAATCTTCCAGTCCCCGCAGTCATATCCCGCTCTTGGCCCCTGCCCTTCCCTCACGTGTATTCTCCACCAGACGGCGCTCGCACCCCCGAAATGCTTGCGGGCACGGTGCCCGTGACGGATGGGCCGAGCGGATGAGTTCGCCAGCATGGATCACAGGGTAAGGAGCGAGTCGCGAGGAAACCAAAGCTTGTCAGTGAAGCGAGCGTGCAGCTGTGCAAAATGACGTGTTAAACGGATTCGTGCTTTGGGCGCTCTGGGGGGTCATTTGGGGGGGGCGAATGTATGTATGTATGTATGTATGTATGTATGTATGTATGTATGTATGTATATATATATATATATAGGTATGGCATAGTCTCTATTCAATTTACATATATATATATGTCTTCTAATATATATATATATATATATATGTACATACATGTGTATATATACATATATGTACATGTAATATACGCATACATGTTTTGTAAATATCAATGTATACACAATACATAGGCTATGTGTATATAGTGTGAACAAAGACCGTTCCCCCGGGGCCCCGTCAACTTCTCAACCGTCGGCGGCAAGTCCCCGGTACCACACTCCAGGGCGTCCAAGAGAGCCCCCTGAGGGCCTGAAGACGGCTTAGGACGCCCCCGAGACAGCACAAGGCTGTCCAAGCCGGCCCGTCGACGGCTCTAGAAGCGCCGAAGAGCGCTCAACATCGCCCCGTGAGGCTTCCAAGAGTCCCCCAAGAGCTTCGGGGAACCCCTCGAGAGGCACAAATCACTGAAAGGCCAATGGTGGAACATGTTTTTTTGGGGTTCTCGCACTTCCACCTCCGACACGCTTCGGAGTTAGGCATGGCCCCCGATGTTTATCCCCAAGGTGCGTCTCAAGTTCTGTGCGTGTGAAACTATATTAGCTGCATCTTGTGGCGGTCTTCTTCACTCCTCCAAGATGATCACAAGAAGCGTCCCGAGCGGCGCGAAGCGGCCCCAACAGGCCACAAGAGATTCCCATGACGCCCACAGGGGCACCACCGAGGCCCCACAGGATCTTCGAGCAGGCCCCAACGAGCTCCCAGGAGCTGCCCCGGAGGCACCCAGCGCCGAAGAGGGCCCCGAGCAAGAGCTCCGAAGAGGCCCCCAGGAGAGCTCCAAGATGCCCCCACGAGGCGTCCCGAGCGGCTCTTGAGGGCATGTGCAAGCCTCGGAAGCGCATCGGAGGCGAAAATGCAAGAACACAAATCATACAAATCCCTCTGGGTTTGTAATGGATTTGGTCTCTCGAGGGCTTCCCTAGAGCTCTTGGGGGACTCTCAGGGTCTCGTGGGGCGATCATGGGTGCTCTTGGGGGCCCCCAGAGCCAATTCGGCAAGAAGATAGGAATTCCATCAAATCCATTTTTTGCAAGGTCGAGGCTTGCCCCAGAGTGCTTTTCTGTTCCCCCCATCCCTCGTTGTCCATTCTCGTTGCTCTCTCTCCTGCTCTTGGTTCTCCTGCATCTCCCGTTCCATATTTGTCTTCCTCTCCTCCTCCTTCCTCCCCTCTGCGGCATTTCTTTTGTCCCCCCTCTCCCTCGTCTCTCATTCACGCCTTCCTCTCTCCGCCTGCCTGCTGCGATTCCGTCTCCCCCCTCCCTCGTCCTCGTCTCCCCTTTCACTCCTTCCTCTCTCCGCCGCCCTCGCCCAGCATCCTGCCCCACTAAGTGGTAGGAGACCCAGCTTGAAGACAAAGGGGATTCCCTCACATCATGTTTTTTTTATAGGTCTACCCCCCTGTTTCCTCCTGTCCCAGGCTTTGGCGTGACCCCGAGTGCGTTTCGGTTTCCCCATCCCTCGCTGTCCGCTCTATTGGATCTCTCTTTCCTGCTGTTGGTTCTCCCCCGTCCCCCGTTTCACATCCATCTCCTTTTTCTCCTCTTCCCGCCTCCCCGCTGCCTCATTTTTCCTCCTCCCTCTTCCTCGTCTCTTCTTCACGTCTTCCTCTCTCCGCCGCCCTCGTGGGTTTCCGTCTCCCAACCCCTCGCTGTTCGTTCTCTTTGATCTCTCCCTTGCTCTTGGTTCTCCTGCCCTCTCCCGTTCCACGGCTTACTTCCTCTCCCACTCCCTCCTCCCCGCTGCGTCCTTTTTCCTCTTCCCTTCTCCTCGTTTCTCCTTCACGCCTTGTTTTTCAATCCTTTTGTCCTGTCGAGGGCTTCCCCGTAGCTCTTGGGGGACTCTCGGAGGCCTCTGGGGGCGATCTTGGGTGCTCTTGGAGGCCTCCAGAGCCGAAGTGAAAAAATAGGATTCCCACAAATCTTTTGTTCAAGACCGCCCTCCCCCTCCGCTTCCTCTTGTCCCAGGCTTTGGCGTGACCACGTGTGCGTTTCGGTTTTCCCCATCCCTCGCCGTCCGTTCTCCTTGCTCTCTCTCCTGCTCTTGGTTCTCCTGCGTCTTCCGTTCGTCACCCTTCTCCTTCCTCTCCTCCTCCCTCCTCCCCGCTGCGTCATTTTCCCTCCTCCCCTTTGTCTCTCCTTCACGTCTTCCTCTCGCCGCCTCCCTCAGCCTGGTTCGGCTTTGCAACGCTCCGAGACGACCCAAGAGGTCCCCAAGGCAGCACCAAGACAGCACAAGAGATCCCCGCGACGGCCCGAATACGACGCAAGAGATGGCCAAGACGACCCACGAGGCCGCCAAGACGGCCCAGGAGGCGCTCAAGACGGCCCCAAGACGGGCAAGAGCGGGAATCCAAATACCAAGATACCAAGAGCCCCCGACATTTCGAGCCCAGATACTAAGAGCCCCAGGAAGGCCCCCGAGGCGCCCCCAGAAAGTTCTAAGAGGTCACCCGGAGACCACCGGCAGAAACCGGAGAGGCCCCACCCCCTAGAACCCCCCAAGAGCCCTTCAAGAACGTCCCCCAAAGGTATCCAAAGCGACTCCCAGTATGGTTTTGCCAGGCTCTTATGGGCTCTCGGGCATCCCCTCTTCGGCTGTCCTGGGTCCTCCTCGTGGCTGCCTTGCGCGACTTGCTGGAGCCTTATTCAGCGATTCCTGAAGCGTCCATCAGGAAGTACGCTCCCATATAGTGATTCTTGCGGGATGATGTTAATTTTCATTCGATCTTGTCAGGTTGACTTGGTCTGCGCTAGAACCTAAACGCTGGCGAAGCGTGCGTGGTTCTAGTGTGTTTATATATATGTGTGTATATATACATATGTACATATGTCGTCCCGTACCGTGTTTACCCAGGCAGTGCTTGCACTTACGGGTTGTTTTACTTCTTCTCTACGGAACTGGGCCGCGTCTTCGGTCTGACGGCTCCGTACCGGCGGTCGCCGCCCCATCGCCGCCTCGTCGCTGCCCGTCGCCAGGGCCATGTGGGTGGTCTGGCGGCTCCGTGCCACCCGTCGCCACCCCTTCACCGCCTCGTCGCCGCCTCGTCGCTACCCCGTCGCCGCCTCGTCGCCGCCCGTCGCCGCCGTTGGATTGCACCACGTAGGCTGCACGAGCAAAATCGCATTCGCGGCGCGCTGCTTGATCGTTCGCAGCATAGATTGCACCACGTAAATTGCACAACATCGATTGCACCACATATTGCATGACCTACATTGCACAGCATTAGTTCTCTTTTTGCAAAAGTATTCGGATCTACCTCCTCCTCGCCCAGACTTAACGCCTCACCTTCTCGTATTGTAATATGGAGATCATTATGCACCATTGTCCATCTTGAATATAAGCGCGTACCATCCCATGCAGTCCCTTATCGGTCCCCTCCTCATCCTCTGCCAAAAAACTAAGCGAGCGCATTCGTTAATTGAAAAACCATCTGCTCCCAATAATCCCTTGCAGTAGATGACACGAAGTGCACACGCGCGCGTCGTCGCGCGAACATGCCAGAATCCTTCAAAAACCTTCGTGTTTGTAAGTATTTCAAAATCGAGTGTCCGGGAACATCTGATTTCGCAACAAGAAGTTTCAAACAACACATGCGTTCGCTTTTTCGGGAACTATTAAGAAAACCATAAGGTTTTCAACGTTTGCATCATATTCTGCCAAGCGTGCCTGTCGCGCGCGTGTCGAAAGCGTTCTAACGCCCTTGCGCGCGGGCTGTCGCAATAATCCCTTGCAACGCATGGGACGAAGTGCGCATGCGCGCGTCGTTGCGCGCGCATGCCAGAATCCTTCAACCACCTTAATTTTCCAAAGGATTTCAAAATCGAGTGTCCCGAGAAACATAGCAACACATGGTTTCGCAACATCAGTTTTCAAAAACGGTCAGCGCGCGCGCCATTGCGAATTATTCAGAAAACCATGGTTTTCAACATGTTCATCAAATTCGAGCAAGTGGGCCTGTCGCGCCGCATGTCAAAATCATTCGAACGCCCTTGCGCGCGTGCTTAGGGGGGTCACGATCCCGTTCAAATACTTCCATGCGGGCCAACCGCGCGCGTCGGCCGCGCGCGTATGCCGAAATCGTTCCGAAACCTTGATAACCGACGCAAAGACACCGTCATGGTAATCGGCGCGATCAGCATCGGCGACGTCATTGGTGTTACCGTCGTCATCATCATCATCGTCACCATCATCGCTATCATCATCATCGTGTCTACCCGTGTCGACGGCGCCATGATACCGCGCCCGCCCATCTCACCGACTCGCACTGAAGTGCCCGTTGGAAAGTGCCCAGCGGTCAGCGCCACCGCGGCCGCGTCGGTCGCGCCAAACCAGCTGGCCGCTGTGCGCGCGAGCATGCGCGGGCTAGCGCGGCCGCAGAGATGCACCAATTAACACCAAGCGCTCATCGTAATTACCGCCACATAGGTTGAGCAATCCAAGTTGCGGGTCGGTAGGTGGGGTGATTGGGCGAGCAAGGGAGCTGTCAATTCCAAACTATTGGAAACTAAGCAGTACCACGTAGTTTTCTCTCTCCATATATGTATGTATGAAGGTTGCACGACGTAAATTGCTTGGCATAGAGTGCAGCACCACATGGATCGCACCATATAGACAGCCCCACGGAGTGTGCAATATGTGCTGCACCACAAATATGACACCACATCTATTACACAACAAATATTGCACAACGGTGCTGCGCAGCAGTCGTTGCAACACATTGATTGTTTCTCATCGATTGCACCACGTATACCGCTCCATTTAGACAGCACAACATATAAGGCATAACGCATGTTGCACAACAGAGGTTGCACGATCTAAATTGTACCACACATCTTGCATATAATATATCTTGCACCCCAGAGATCGCACAACTCTTGCTGTAAAACATAGACGGTACGACATATATCACATCACGTAGATGGCACATCATTTGTTGCTAGAACTACAGTGTTCGGGATCCGCGTTGGGTAGCAATTCAAGTCGTATTTGCTGCACGCTTCATCCAGCCGTGGCGACGAGAAGCCTCCGAGGGGGCCCGGAGAGGGCGAGAATGCCCCTGTCGAAACCCGGGAAGCCGCAGAGACCTGGCTTTTCCCCGCTTATCCCCTCTGCCCCTCTCCTCTGCTGTTCGTTCTCGTCGTTCTCCTTCCTCATCCTTCTCCTTTTCATCCTGTTCATCCTGTTGCTCATCCGCCACCTCGTCCTCATCGTCGTCCTCCTCCCCTCCTCCTCGTCCTCCTGCTCCTCCTCCTCCAATGTTCGGAGCTCCCTTCGTTCCCCGACCGCGAGTTGCATGATCGGACCTTCTTTGGAGTTCCAGGTCCGCCATGACACGCACCACCGTCGGATGGAGAAAGCAGCGCGATGGGGAGGGACGGCTGGGAATGGTACTCCAGATTTCGTAATAAAAGGGAAGGGGTCTGGACCCTCCAAGACAAGCCATTTCAGACCTCTCCCGTGGGAGAACCTTCCAAAACATCGTCCCCAGACCCCCCAGGCCCTCCAATATAGCCTGGAAGAGACCCCCCCCGAAATGAGACCCCCCTCCCTTTATTACGAAATCTGGAGTAGGATGTTAGATGTGGCGCGAGTGCATCTGGCTTGCCCCTGCCCTCCTGCTCGCGGGCGAAGAACATATGCTTGGACCTCGCGGGCCGGTCCCTTGGGCCGCGACCCTGGGGATCCGGGGCGTTTTTTGGCGAATGCCCAGAGAGGAATGTACACATTAGGCGATGCTTAAGAAAACTTAAGTTTTCGGCCAGAGTCTCGATGATTCTTAACGTTTCAATGTAAATCCTAAGAGTTTGAAGGACATCTTGTGTTTTTATTCAAGTTCTGAGACTATGAATTTCTTAACCCATGATTTCTTAAGCATTTCGCAGGGTGTATCCGTGCGACCGCGTATCCGCGGGATCGTGCCCTAGAATTCAGACCGCGATGGCGTGGACCTGGATGCGTCCTGAAGTCCTTCCTGGGAGCCTCAGAGGGTCGAACATTTTTTTGCGGCTTCGGGGATCTCATTTGGATTTCGTCGTATTTGGTCGACGTCTGGCTGGAATCTGGACGAAGTCTGAACGACTGGGTGAAGAGTGGTGGTCGGAATTTTGACGAAACTCGATCGAAATCACGTTTATGATAGCACCACGGTTCACAGAGGCTCCCATGAAGGCTCACCCAAAATACGTTCGCCGTTCGTGACCCTCGTTTCCTCGCCCCTGCCCCTCCCCTCTCTCCCCGCCGAGCCGCTGAACAACGCCATACTGGTCCACGCGGAACGCCGCTTCGACCCCCTGCTGCAGCGCTTCACGGAGCGCCCGCCCTCGCGTTGGCTGGATAGGGGGCCCTTCTCCTTTCGCTCCCCCCTTCTCCCGTCCCCCGCATCTCCCCTTCCGCCACACACACAGATCACACACACACACACACGGTTGGCGTCGTAAAGGTAGCGTGCAACGTGTCGCCGCCGACCCGCTCATTCTGTTTGTGCGTCGCAGCGCGGCAGTGTCAGTCCGCACGTGCGCTCGGCAAGCCGGGCAACGGCATCGCTGACTGTCCAGACACACTCAAGAATGGAGGAGACGACGAGGGACGGCCGCATGAGGGAAGGGACAGGGAGGGCCATCGCAGGCCTAGAGGTGGACACCAACACCAACATCGGCGATGTGCCCCCTCCGAGGGAAGAAGATATCCCGATTTCGGTGATGGTGGTCATATTCCGGCCTCCGAGGCGGTCGAGCTGTTACCACCAGCACCGAGATCTAAGCTCACCCTCCCCCTTGTGGAGGCAAACCCCCTTGTGGAGGCAAACCCCCTTGTGTTGGTGGAGGCAAGCCCCCTTGTGGAGGCAAACCCCCTTGTGGAGGCAAACCCTCCCCCCTTGTGGAGGCAAACCCCCTTGTATTGGTGCTGGTGCCCATGTCCAGGCCTTCAAGGCCAGCGCACTCGCGCGGCGAGGCCGCAGCCAGGCGCGGAGAGGGCGGCCCGAGCAGGTGCCGCGGCCCCTGGCAGCGGGCGCGGAGGGCGGCCTCGCCTCCGCACCCCGTGGGGGTGGGCACGGCGGCTGCGGTGCAGGGCGGAGGAGGAGGAGGAGGAGGAGGAGGAGGAGGAGGAGGGGAAGAGGAGGAGGAGAGAGGAGGGAGGAGGAAGGAGGAGGAGGAGGAGGAGGAGGAGGAGGAGGAGGAGGAGGAGGAGGAGGAGGAGGGGAGGAGGAGGAGGAGGAGGAGGAGGCAGGAGGAGGAGGAGGAGGAGGAGGAGGAGGAGGAGGAGGAGGAGAGGAGGAGGAGGAGGAGGAGGAGGAGGAGGAGGAGGAGGAGGAGGGAGGAGGAGGAGGGGAGGAGGAGGAGGAGGAGGAAGGAGGAGGGGAGGAGGAGGAGGAGGAGGAGGAGGAAGAGGAGGAGGAGGAGGAAGGAGGAGGAGGGGAGGAGGAGGAGGAGGAGGAGGAGGAGGAGGAGGGGGAGGAGCCAGAGCGGCCGTGGCGGCGGCGGCCCCAGCCAGTCGGGAGGGGGGAAGAAGAGAAAGACGACGAGACAACGAGCAGGGCGACGACGAGGACGGCGACGGCGACGGCGACGGCGACGGCGTCGGCGACGACGGCGCAACGACGACGACGACGACGACGACGACGACGATGACGACGACGACGGGATCGCCGCCACGGGCTCCCGGGCCGCCCCCCTTGCACGCGGAGCGGGGGCCAGGTGCGGCTGCCAGGCGGGCTGCGCAGGCAGGCTGCAGTGGCCGACCAGGGGCGCGTGGTGGCCCCCCCGGGGGGTGGGCGACGCAGCGGTGGCGCCAGGCGGGGGCAGCGTCCGCCGCGCGAGCCAGGGCGCCGGTCGGGGGCGGCCGAGGCGGCGGCGCCCGAGGGCAAGCAGCGCCCAGGGGGGGGGGGAGGAGGCAGGGCTCGGAGGGGGGAGGCGTCGGCCCCCCGTCGCCCACGCGCAGCGCGCACGCGGTGGCCCGACACCCCACCCCGTCGTGGGCTGTGGGGGCTCGCTGTCGGGGGCCTGTCGCCGATGGATCGGCGATGTGCACATCGCCGATCGATCGGCGCTCCTTCAAATCGCAAGCTCGGTCGATTCGCACAATTGGCGTCGCGTCGCGAAGATGTCGGCCTCATCGCGATCAGCGATCATGTGGGCATGAGGGCCAGTAAATCAAAATCTACAGGCCGACCAGTGAAAGATAATAATTTCTGGCCCCTAGTGTGGCGCCGCTTCCATGCTGGTGCTCCCCCCCCCTGAGCGATTCCCTCCCGTGGCGCTGCCCTTCCTCCCGCCGATCGGGCGGAGCCTCGGGAGGGGGGCGGGGCTGCCCACGAGGCGGGGGTCGGTCGGGGGCGGCCCGGGGGCGGGGGGGGGGGGTCGGGCTTTTTTCTGGGGATGAGCACAGGGCAGAGAGCAGAACTCTTCGGGGGTCCGCGCGGATGCCTCGGATCGGCGCCGGAGCCCGCGCGCCAGGGGGGGGGAGAGTCCAGCGCCGCTCCGAGCAGTCCGCGCGGACCTCCAACAGCTTATGCTTCTACATGCTTTGCCCCTCCTGTGCCATGGCCAGGGCCACAACGTCTCCCAGGATTTCGTGCCCCCTTCTTCTTCTTCTTTTCCTTATTCTTCTCCTCCTTCTTCCTCTCCTTGTCCTTCTTCTTCTTCTTCTGCTTCTTCTTCTGCTTCTTCTGCGCTTCGTGCGTTCCCTGGTCCCCCCACAAGGCCGCGCACGTGCCTCGGGCTGTGATTTGCGGCCCCCCCTCTCGGACGGCCCCCACTCGTGGACGCCCCCGACACAGGGCAGGTCTGGGGGGCATCCGAGAGCACAGGGAGGGAAAAACCACCCCGACCCCCGTAGGTGGCGTTTGCTAAACGACGTTGGGCGTTTATCGAAACAGTCCTGCCCTGCTCGATTCCACTTGTGGCGCGTTTGCCAAATGCTTCGCTCTTAGAGGTGCTTCTTTCTCAGGAGGGTGGCTCGGGGACTAGGTGGGGGTGCGGGTGGATATCATCGTCCAGCCCCTCGTACGTCGGGGGCGTCCAAAGAGGGGGGTAGGGACGTCTGCGTTGTTTCTGCGTGGCTTCCTTCCCTCTGGATGATCTCCAAGCCGCTGCGCCTCGTCGAGAGCCTCTCGGGGGATGCCTCGCTCGTCTCGACCGGCCGCTGGAGGCCCGAGCGATGACCCGAAGGCCACCAGGCCCTGGGGAAAGGGTCAGGACTTCGCAAACCATCCTCCTCCTCCTCCTTCTCCTCCTCCTCCTCCTCCTCCTCCTCCTCCTCCTCCTACATCCAAACACCGCACGTCTGGGGGCGGGGACCGGGGGGGGCGTGTGTATCACGGCCGGGCCGCCGAGCTCTTGACCGGAAGGGGCCCGCTCCCGACCCGCCGGCCAAAAAGGTGTGTCACGGCAGGGGCCATATAGGGCCCATCAGATTTCGCGGTCCCCTCCGCTTCTCTCGAGGCGTTCCCCTGGCCCCCTCTCGAGTGCGCACGCGCCTCGGGGCATGGCGCGCGCCCCGTCCCCTCTTCTTTCTGGGCCCCCCTGCTTTCGGCTCGCCCCCGAAGGCTCGGAGCGCCGCCGATCGTGCCACGCACGGCCGGCAGCCCAGACCACAGACGTCGGCGCTGGCTCCTCGGGGGGGGGGGGGCTTTTGTCGCTCGTTTCCCGAGCAGTGCTCTGGCGCACCCGGAGGAGGGCCCCCTCCCGGGAGGCCGAACCTTGCCAGGCATCGAGCTGGAATCGGGGGCGGCAAAGAGGGGGGTGATGACTAGGGGGGGGTGGATATCATGGCCAGGGCCATGATATTTCCCCAGATCTCACGGCGCCTCTTCTTATTTCATTACGTCCCTGGCCCCCCCGCTGGGCCGCGCACATGCCGCCGGTCATGATTTGCACCTCCCCCTCTTGGACACCCCCCTCTTGGCCGCTCCCGATAGAAGAGACGGAAGTAAGTGCAGACGGGGGTAGGCCAGAGTGCCGGACCTTGCAGGATCCGGCAGAGCCAGGGGTGCTTTGGCCCCAGTCAGCGTGCAGGGTCCTGCAGGATCCTGCAGGATCCTGCAGGATCCTGCAGGATCCTGCAGAGCCTGACTTGCACGGACTTGGGTTCGCCCGGGTCAGTGGATCTCCGAGGGCACCGCCAGACGAAAGGGGGGGATAGGGAAAGGGGGGGGTACGAAATCTGCTGCATTCAGCTGATTTCCGCCCCGCCGCCGGGCCCATTTCTCGATACATGACCGCCTCCCAGCGCCTGCGATGCGTTGCAATTCTGACCCCATCTAACCGCATCAAGCCTTTATCGGGTCGGGCGAAAGGGGGGATTGGGAAAGGGGGGTTACGAAAATTTGCTGCATGCAGTGGTTTGCCCTCAGATACATACCGGGCGCCCATCCTGATCACCCGGCGCCGGGGGTGAGCTACGTGAGCTGATTCTCAAACCCCCCCTTTGCTATCCCCCCCTTTCGCCCGACCCGACTTTAGGACCCCCCCCCCTCATCGGGTGAAAGTATAACGCATCCGGCACCCTGGAAGCGTTACCTCGGCGCCGGAGGAGTCCGCAGAGAGCGCTCGGGGCCAAGCTAAGCCTTGCTGAGCCCTGCTAGCTCCCGCTAAGCCCTGCTAAGCAATGATAAGCGAGGCTCGCCCCCTGCTGAGCCCTGCTGCGCCCTGCAAAATTCCGTGGCGCGCGGCGCGCCACGGAATTTTGTTGTTTGATTTGTGCGAGGTGCTAAAGATATCGCTATCGCTCTGCGCAAACGACCCCCTGAAAATATCACATCTTGGTGCGGCGCAAGCGATAACCCCGGGGGGGTTCTGAAAGGCTTGCCGGGGTTACTCGCACCCCATCCAGGATGCCTCGAAGAGCCTCGGACCTCGGCCCCCCTTCCTGCTCGCCAGAGCGAGTGCCGGGCCACTTCAGGCCCCCAGCCGGCTCCAACTCCCGGGCCGCTCCCTCTCGAGGACGAGAGCCGCGAGACGGCGCAGCGCAGGCACGAGGACTCGGCCCGCGTGAGGCACCTGAACCTCGCGGCCGACGTCCGCGCGCGCCGCCCTCTTCGCTGGGTGCAGTCGGGCACTCTGCGGTGGACGCCGACAAGGCTAGCGTGTGCGACCTCTCTGCGTCGGTCCTGGCTCGTGGCACGCCAGCCCTCTCCAGCCTTCCGCTCCCTCGCCCCCTCCCCCACCTGCCCCCTCCCCCTTCAGAGGGAGTCTGAAGGCTTCTTCGCCTCCCCCTCCTCCCCTCGTCCCCATCCTCCTCCTCCCCCGGGGAGCCAGAGGAGCGTGTCTGCCGTCCACGCTCGTGCAGCTGCGCGCGCCATCGAGCGTGCTGCAGTCAGGCACTGCAGGGAGGAACGCTGCACGAGGAACGAAACAAATTTTTCCTTGGTAGCGTGTTCGCATTTTCCCCGAAGCGCGTTTCGCCAGAGCGTTCCCCGAGATCCTGGCGTAGCCAGGGGGGGGGAGGAGGAGGAGGAGGAGGAGGAGGAGGAGGAGGAGGAGGAGGAGGAGGAGGAGGAGGAGGAGGAGGAGGAGGAGGAGGAGGAGGAGGGGAGGAGGAGGAGGAGGAGGAGGAGGAGGAGGAGGAGGAGGAGCGCGCGGACCGCACGCCACCAGCAAGAGGCCAAGCCTCGAGCTGGTGGTTTTTTTTAACAGGCAAGCCCAGCACACACAAGGGCGTGGGCCGAGCGGGAGGGCCGCCCCGCCTGCCTGGCCACGTCGCACGCCAGCCTCCCCAGCGCCGAGAACACCAGGAAGAGGCACACGTATGCGGCGGGGGAGGGGGAGGCGACGGGCGACAGACTACAAGGGCGGCCCAAGAAAAAACCAAACGAGTTTAGTCAGACCCTGAGCTCGCTCCATCGGGAGCAGGTTCAGGCAAACTGGCCGCTTCCAGCAGCCTCAAAGATGAAGCACGGCGGAGCTCCGCGCGGTCATCGTCGCGCTCAGCGGCCCCAGCAATCTTCACGCCCGTTCTGGGGTGACACCCACGCTCCAGCCGTCTAATCGACATTCTCTGATTGGCAGCCGTGCTCGGGACTTTGGATCTCCCTTTGCATTGCTGCGTGAGGTTTCGCAGCGAGCCAAGAGAGCCGTGAGCCCCGCACAGCTTGCAACAGTACACATGCAGGTGACGAAAAACGTCGTGCCCCAGGTCCCGAAAAGCAGAAAACTCGTCCGACGGCTCGGGCTCAGCCACAGGAGTCGGGGGACCTTGGACCTCATCAATGCACACGCGCTGAGCTTCGTCAGCGGCAGCCAGAGCAACCCTCACCGCTTCCAGCTGCACGGGCCTAAAAGCCGCCCCAAACTCACGAAACCACTGGTCGCACACGTGTCGCTGGATCGGAGAAGGAGAACAGTCACGATAGTCTCTGCTCGTGAGCAGGCTCTTAAGCGACTCCAAAGTGCGAGCGACACGGCCACAGCTCCTGCATTTATAGGTGCTGGTGGTCTCACAGCGGAATAACACATGGCTAGTGACCGTGACCTTAGGAGGGGCAGGGGCTCTCAAGAGGCGGAGGGGACGATCAGGGTCAACTTGTGTCCATGTGCCAGACTCAAGCAAACGTTGAGCAGCCCATGCAATGAACCGCACCGTGGACTTATGATATTTTAATTCACCTGACACCGCCGCACAAAAACCTTCAGCCAGCGTGTGAGAGCTAGCCCCTAGTTTGGCGAAAAAATCAGCCCACAGGTTCCCGGCCCAACTTTTGACACACAGCCCACGCTCCAACACGTCATCAAAACTCAGATGGGCTGGGAACCAAGAGAACTGGGGGTGATTAGACTTAAGGTCAAATATGGACCTCCAGATCGAGGCATGCTTGGACATGCCTTGGGAAAGATGCAGGCTCCAAGAGTTGCCTTCACGCACAACCGCCTGGAGGTCCGAAACAATACTCTGATGCTGCGGGTGAAATGCCAGACCCTGCCGCACAGCCCAACGTTCAGCACGACCTATGGTCTGACGCTCACCTGGGAGCGCTCCATATACGGCCCTCAGGGGAAGCAGACAATCAAATAACTGCACCACGCTCCAACCAGCTCTGGAGACCTCTGGGACCCCAGAGTGAAAGCAACTACCGTCAGTGAAAGACTGAGGGCCCCAGGACCCAGAGACGTCCCCGAACTCAAAAATAGGTGGGTTGGCAAGCGGAGCGGGAATATTAGTGGGCAAAGGAGGGATGCCATAAGTTAAATAATTAGAGTGTACATCGGGCTCCCCCGTTATAGAGGCCCGAGACTCGATCAACACGCGCCTATGCTTAGCCAGGGCCTCAGGAACCTCGTCACCCAAAGCGTCAACCCCGTCGTCGGTGATGAACTTAGAGCAGGCATACCACACATGTCCGTACGTACCTTGAGGAGCGGAGCAGGCGAGGCACACGGGTGGTACATCATATTGCAGAGCAGATAGTGCAGCAGGTAGCGGAACCACATTCCCCCAGACGGCAGCCAGGGCCCCAAGAGCCCGCTGGTCTTTTACAGCACGTATACCATTACGTAGTGCACGAAACCAAGGCTCCCCTTCTGGAGGGTCAGTGTTATAGAGGTGCTGCTGCAACCGACGTATCTGCCACCGCTGCACACCTTCGATAATCGCAATACGCACATCACTAGGACACACCACCAGCAGCGAAATATCTGTACCAAGATCGCTGCGAAGAGTGTGGGCATTGACCATCGTCCAGCCTATGCGAAGCAGGCTGAGCCACACCGCCGACAGCGGACCTCGAGCCTGCTGCCAGGTAGGGTTGTCGGACATGATGTCCCTCAAACAGGTCCAAGCACGTTGAAGTCTCGACAACTGAACCCTTCCGTCCCAGACGAACGTGGCGAACTTGACACGCACACAAGTAGTGGAGTCGTAGATCGGGTCGTATTGCGGATCGGCCTGCGTCAGCAGATACGAGGTGATGCCACCGTGCTGCTTGGCCCCTGCGATCGTAGCCGCAAGCTGCCTCAAATACTTCAGCGCAGTGTCTGAGATGCCCGACACGGAGCCACCGTGTCCAGCTGCTGGGAGAGCTCCAGTCCTCCAAAGTCGGGTTGCACGCTTGCCAGTTGCATGTTTCAGCGCAACGAACTTGTCACGACGACGTTTGAGAGCATGTAGCCTTTTCTTCTCCTGCGTGCGAACAACCCGACCAGCAGCTAATTCATGCCCGAGATTTCTCATCCATTTACGAACAGGTAGATGCAGCCGAATAGCCATCTTCGAGAAAACCTTCCGAGCAACTTTGTTCCCAGCTATGAGCCCCGACTTTTTGACATGGGAGTGGGGCCCGAGGACCTTGGCATCTTCGGTGAACACTTTCACAGCACGCTCCAGGAAACGCACATCACGAGGATCCGAAGTGACGAGCTGAATCGAGATGTCGTCGACTAGGGCTCTCGGTGTTATACAGGGCGAAATGTCATTGAGCCTACGCACAGCACGCAGCGTGAGAAGGAAAAGCATGCCTGTCGCATGATTGCACCCAGCAAGGATGCCTTGATGCGAACAGAACTGCACCGACAGGCTGCCGAAAGCTCGAAGACGCCGTGGCTGCCTGTACAGATCCACCAACATCCAAGCTAGCCGCATTGGAAAGTGCAACGCTTCAGCCTCTTTCAACAGCTGCTCCGAGTGAACCATTTCGAAGCATTTGATCATGTCTAGGAGGGCAGATATTGAAATATCACCGACTAGCGCAGCCATCTCGGCAGCAATGTTGTGGGCAAAAGCACTGTCTGAGGAGCTGTGCCCCCGACGAGTCCCCCAAACAGCGTGGCAGTCATTGCGCTCTTGCCAGTCAAAGGTGATGGGCTTGCGAACTTTGCCCCAGACACGGCACAGCAAAGAGACGAGAGCGATCAGTCGAGTCCCACCATCTGGTTTGGCAAGACGACACATCTCGTTACAAACACGCTCTCTAGGCCAGGCTAAGTGCAACTCGCACAGGTTAAAGAGTTCAGCAATCGCCGAGAAGGCCTGTCTAGGCAAGTGTATTAATGCTCTCGGATGAATACCCATCATGCCTCCAGCAGTGCGAATGGGGTAAGTGTGAACAGCATCCTCCACCTGAGCGGCCGTGATGGGCGGCAGCATGGGCCAGCTGGTGGACCCTCGAGGAAACTCGAGAACGGAACAACCGTGGGACAACCAAACCTCCTTCCAGGGAACAAGTTCAGCATCGGCCTGCTGGTGGGGAGCCTCACGCGCCTGGTTGCTTAAAACCTCTTGGATGGCCTTCACTTTTGAGAACCTGTGAGCCTTCGAAGCGCCAGCAGAGAAAGCGTCCCTAGCCCATTGCCTCCAAGCCTGGGACGCCGCATTCTCCGCACGAGCGATTGCTGCCTTCGCACGAATGTAAATAGTAGTGAGCATGCTGGCCACATCAGGACGTGCGAGGACGGCGAAGCCGCCATTGCAGAAATCACGCACATCAGAATCAAGGCAACCTAGGACTTTTTTGCAGCGGGCGATGTTGGCCATGAAACGATCGAACTCCTCAAAAGCCGAAAGAAGCTTGCGATATTGCAGAGGCGCAGCAGAACACAGAGCATCGTTTTCTTGCAAAAGCCTAATTTGCTCACTGAGATGCTCTCTGGCCTTGCCTAAGTGTTTGGCCCACCCAAGAGCGACAGCCCAGGCACGTGCCTGCGGATCCTTATAAGTCCTCCTTCTGGGGGGAGCCCAGACCAGCTTTTTGAAGTGGACCTCAAGAGGCCCGCTGCGGCCCACGTAGGCCTCGGCGGCTAAGCCAACGCGGTCCCACCTGGCGGCCAACTCTCTTTCCACCCCTTCGAGGACGAGATCCCAAAAATCAGCAACTTTGGCTGCAGAGTCCACTTGCGGGGCAGCGGTCGACAAAACCGCGTGCCACGGGTATATAGGAGGTCTAGCGCAGCCAATGGGAGGGGTCGACGGGAAAGCTTTCGGGACCTTGGCCACACGAGCCCAAACTGGCGCCTCCCGAGCCCTCAACGTAAGCTGGACGGGGAGGTGAGGGTAGGTGGTGGCAGCCTCCAACACACACGTGCGGGGG